TTCAGGGGAAGATTCGGCCACTTCGCAGTCGGAGTACACGCGGCGCCAGTTAGATCCGGGAAATATAATGTACTAAAATTGATTGGCACGGAACGTTGCACGTGGAACGGGCGCGCAGGCGGAGAGACCGAAAGTCGAATTGGGCTCGGGGAACGGTGTCCGGGATGTCCCACGGTTAAACAATAACGAGCAGCATCGCCGGTAAGCTTGCGTTCCCATCGATTGCGGCTCTAAAAGTCCATCCAATCTAGCCGTGTTTGGAAAAGGGGGGAAAGCGGGGCTGATAACAGTTCGTTCGGAACCATTGTTCCGTGAGGGACCGAAAAACCTCGGCTACGGAAAATTTCGCGCATCATCCTATCGGCGTGCGCTGCTATTGCTGCAGGAAGAAGGGTCCAGGGTGCAGCATCGAGGACGCGTGATTCTTGCACTCGAGCGAAATTGCAATTAGCAGAGAGATGGTTCGGGAGCGAGAGAGACGGACGCGCACACGCGTACACAGAGAGAAAGAGAGAAGCTTCGAGAGAGAAAGAAGGAGAGAGAGAAGCTTCGAGAGAGAAGCTTTGAGAGAGAGAAGCTTCGAGAGAGAAAGAAGGAGAGAGAGAAGCTTCGAGAGAGAAGCTTTGAGAGAGAGAAGCTTCGAGAGAGAAGCTTTGAGAGAGAGAAGCTTCGAGAGAGGAGCTTCGAGAGAGAAGCTTCGTGAGAGAGAAGCTTCGAGAGTGAAGCTTCGAGAGAGAAAGAAGGAGAGAGAGAGAGAATCTTGGAGAGAGAGCTAGCAAGAGAAGATTCGAGAGACAGAGAGTGGAAGAGAGGAAGAGGCGGCGACTCTCTCGCGCGTCTTGCGAGCGCACGCATTCCGCGTGCCTCCGGGGAACCCATTAGGGAAGATTCTCGCGCGCCATGCCGGCACTCGCTTAATGAGCGATATAATTTATTGGCTCTACTTAGGAGCCGGTCTAGTTGCGGTTTGTAGTTAATAGAACCCGCGACCTCCGACCCATTAACGGCGCCGGTTCGAACGTAAGATGCCATCCGAGGACCTCCCATGGTCGGGCACCGTTTCTCTCCCGATGGTTTCCACGGTCTCTCCCGGTCCCGCCATGGTTTTCCGCCATTACGGCCGGCTTTATCGGCGGCCGAGCCCCCATCGAACTTGCCCGATGCCGTGCCCTTTGCCGNAGAGAGAAGCTTTGAGAGAGAGAAGCTTCGAGAGAGAAAGAAGGAGAGAGAGAAGCTTCGAGAGAGAAGCTTTGAGAGAGAGAAGCTTCGAGAGAGGAGCTTCGAGAGAGAAGCTTCGTGAGAGAGAAGCTTCGAGAGTGAAGCTTCGAGAGAGAAAGAAGGAGAGAGAGAGAGAATCTTGGAGAGAGAGCTAGCAAGAGAAGATTCGAGAGACAGAGAGTGGAAGAGAGGAAGAGGCGGCGACTCTCTCGCGCGTCTTGCGAGCGCACGCATTCCGCGTGCCTCCGGGGAACCCATTAGGGAAGATTCTCGCGCGCCATGCCGGCACTCGCTTAATGAGCGATATAATTTATTGGCTCTACTTAGGAGCCGGTCTAGTTGCGGTTTGTAGTTAATAGAACCCGCGACCTCCGACCCATTAACGGCGCCGGTTCGAACGTAAGATGCCATCCGAGGACCTCCCATGGTCGGGCACCGTTTCTCTCCCGATGGTTTCCACGGTCTCTCCCGGTCCCGCCATGGTTTTCCGCCATTACGGCCGGCTTTATCGGCGGCCGAGCCCCCATCGAACTTGCCCGATGCCGTGCCCTTTGCCGAGCACCGTGCTAGCTCCCTCTTCGTCCCGATTCCCGCTCGCTCATTGTCTGGCTTCTTGTTCATTGTCCGCCTCTATCGCTGCTTGTACCACTCGTATATCTCTTCTGCCGACCTGTTCCAGTTCTCCTGCGCCTCTCTCTCTCTCTCTCTCTCTCTCTCTCTCTCTCTGTCTCTCTGCCGCACGTGCAGCCCGCCCATTCCGTATGGGGCTGGAAGTTTGATAGACACGGAGAGGAACAGCCACCCTTCATCTTCCAGGCATCGAGCACCCCAAGATTTATCGGTCTTTTCACGCACCTATCAGGGCACGCCTACGCCCTTCCTTCCTTCCTTCCTTCCTTCCCTCTATCCGTCTATCCTTCCTTCCTTCCTTCCTTCGTTCCTTCTATCTGCCAGCCAAACCCCATCTTCGAAGAAATATACGCCGAGACGCTCTTATTTCGAAGCAACGCGGAAGTTCACGCGGCGCGAACGATAATCGGGGCTAACTTTATCTTGCCGGATGAATAGGCAGAGATCCGTGTTTTTCAGTGGCAGAGGCAAGAGACGACGCGTCTGAGACGAATCCGAACGGTGAAACTTGTCTTTCGGCTCGGCTTAGAGCGATCGATGAACGCGGGCTCCGCTGATTCAATAACAATGACTGCGATCGTGTTCGGAGCAAATAGGGGACGCGAGCCGTTTTACTCAGTGAGCCTTCGGGTAAAAATATAATACCAGCGGGACTTGCGGGATTTTACGCGTCCGCGACGGAAACGCGTGGGTGTCGTTCGAGGCAACGGATAGTTTGAAAGTGTCTATGAATGTCGTTGTATTTAGCTTTCGCTCATTGAACGCCGACCGGTTTCCGATCTTCTTCTTCTTCCTTTCACGGTTGCTGATATCGTAGAAATATCTGTGGCAGCAATTTTTCGGTACGTTTCCACTTTATCGAAGCACGTATCATCATAGAAACGGCACGAAGTTTCAGCGAATCCGGCCTTGGCATTTACGAATGTCGTTGCGTTAGTTCGCTAGTTCGCTAGTTGTCGAGTCGTTTGAAGATTTCAAGATTTCTAATCGGTTATTTCGACGCAACTGAAACGATTTTTACTTCGCGCGAAGCTCCGCGGTCTAATAACAGGTATTGATTTTCGTTGACGAGCTCGTGCTATAGACGCTCCGTACTATAGACGCCTAAGTCTAGAGATCCAGCCTAATTACGGCTGGCGACATAATCGGTCGAGCGACGGGAACACAATTTCATTCGGATCCCTCCTCGTGTCGCGATTCGAATCTCTCGTCGATTTTCCCGAATATTTCCACCTGGCGCGCGCGCGCGCGGACGAGAGGCGAATACGCGCGGCGAATTATATTCTTTTTTTTGCCGGGCCGGCTTTTGTTCCCCTAGTAAATCGAGTTTGAAAATTCGTCAAGCGCAATACATACGCCGGAGAAGTAGAAACGGCGAGTCATGAACAGACACATTAGCCCGTAGTCAAGAGCGCGGGCGCATTAGTGTGTACGCAGGAAGTAGAAACGGTGTGTCACGGGCAGACGTTTTACTTGATACCTACTCGATAGCACGCAACCCGGAAATTTTCAAACGCGGTTTTTCCGAAAATACAAAGCCACCGACGCGACGATAATAATTCGGCCCGGCCGTTGATAATTTTTGTCAGCTGCGGTTAACTCGAATCCGCTGTTCGATTATTCTGGCCTACTATTGCAGCGTTCGAATTCGACGCCTTCGTAAATGTTCTATTAAGTAATAATTCTCTGTAATTGCCATAACAAGACACCGGGGTCTCGTGCGAAGAACTCCGAGCCAACATCGACTGCTAAGTTTCAAGCATAATATTGTTGCAGCGGATGTCCCGGAGTTCGACGACAGTTCGCCGCGAAATTGTTTCTAAATATTCAGAAATTCATCGAAAGATAGGATAAAATTCTATATTCCACGTTCTCGTCGGGACGCCGGAATCGCCCGGTCCAAGTAATTTCTCTGTAATTCGCGCTCAGATTGCACACAAAAATGGACAATTCGAGAAGCGGAGATGCAATTGTTCGAACGGCTCACGCCTCTTTTTTACGGTTACTATAAAATCGAGGCGCAAGGCTCGAATAATCGCGCATCCATACATAATTATACATAATATAATTTGTAGCATAATTTATAGTATAATACTGCCATCTCAACAACAAGATATAATATTAACAAAAGTAGAAAAAATATATTAGAAATTACGCAAAATCGAGACTACTACGAATTAATATAACTCTGAACGATCTTGACAATAAATTTGTAAGATTCTTGAACGATGCACGCGTTAATAAACAATAATACTTCTCTCGTTTCTCGCAACGAGGAAAATTCGACTTGTATGACGATCATTTGAACCGACTCATACACAGCAAATTTTCCCTAATTGGCGCTCGAATCGCGCATAGAAAAATGGACAATTTGGGAAGAGCTCGAACGATTGTTCTAGCCTTTCTGCTTCGTTTTACAGTCGTTGACGATCGGCGACCATAAAAACAAGTCACGAGGCTCGAAAAATCGCGTCTCCTCTCCCAAATAGTCCATTATAGCACGCGATCCGAGCGCGAATTAGGGAGAATTCGCTGTGTACGAGTCAGTTCAAATTATCGTTGCGCAAGTCGCAGTTTCCTCGTTGCGAGTAACAAGAGAACTATTATTATTTATTAACGCGTGATTAATAACGCATCGTTCCTAGAAACGCCAGGCGACGATGCAGCAGCACTTTCGTTTCCGCGTTGAAAAGCGTAAGAAAGTCGAAAGGAAGCGGGGTTCCGTCGTGTTTCCCGGCGCGAGAACGAATCTGGGGGTTCGCCGGTGACCCAGTGTCGTCGATTTATCGGGGGCAGGGTGAGGAACGACAGCCCCTATCCGTTCGGATTGGACGGGGTACGCGCGCAGAGTGCGTGGACCGGTTTCGTCGGCTTGGATCGCGTCTGCTCCAGAAAGTCCGGCAGAAATATTGCGTGCGGGTTTGTGCAGGTTGCTTCCTTCTTGCCTCTCCGCGTTCTCGCTCGCGCCTCCACCCCTTCCTCTCTCTTTCTCTCTTACTCCGTAGAGGGTGGTGGATAGGAGAGTGGGTGGCGCGGCGGCAGAGTAGGTAGGGGGCTACAGAAGTTCCCAGAGGGGGTACCAACATTTTTCTACCCCTCCCGGTCCGCGTAGCCCCTTTCCGGAGCACGCCCACCGTTTGGTGGGGGGGCAGTCGGTTCTTGATAGGGGATGCTGGTGGTGGTTCGGCGGTGGTGGTGGTGGCTCGACGGCGGCGGTGGTGGTGGTGGTGGCCGTTGTCGGTGCTGGCAAGCCAAGTCCGAGCGAAACGGCGCCAGTACTACTGTCGCCAGCATCACGAGCGCAGCCACGAGGCCAAGTCATGGACATACTGGGTATGTCCGCTAGAAAGCCAAGCATGCACTTAAACTTAGCCTCTCCTCACTTGCTCTCTTGTCCGAGTATATATATACATACTCGCCGCGGTGCGCTCTGTTCCGCGATCGTCGAGACTGCCGTCCGCGACCCGGTGCCCTTTGTTTTCTCGAGTTCTCTCGTTTTATTTTCTCTCCTTCTGCTTCTCGTCTTCTTCTTTTTTTCTCTGGTTTCTCTTTTTAGTTTTATCTCTCTCTCTTTCTTTCTTTCTCTTTCGTTCTCTCGGTGTGCCTTGGTTCAGTCGTTTCGCAACGATCGATCGATACCGATCGATACGAGCCGTGAGCCGGAAGCTGGAGCCTGTCCCAGCGTTGTAACCTTGTTCATCTCCGAGCCTGTTCTGTCTTCCTGTTCTGTTGTTTGCTCTTCTTCCGGAAAGAAGTCTCTGGATCGGCGACGATTTCATTTTGTGATCATGCTCGGTATTATAGTTTGCCCGTCTTTTGAGTTCGTGACGCGCCGCTGCGGGACTGGCTCCAGGCTGGCGCAACGAACCACGACCACCACGTTACAACCCGCCCGTGTAACACCGAACGCAATCAGGTACTGTTCCATCAACCATATCTCTCTGTCTCTCTGTCTTTTGCTCTCTCTCTCTCGCTCTCTTTCTTTCTCTCTATTATATTACTTGGTGCTTTTCTCCCCTGCTCTTTCGCGTTCCTTTCCTTCGCTCTATCGCGAGCACGCTTCGCGCGCTGCTGATTCGAAGCCCGCTCTATTCGAGATCGCCTGGAGATCTCGAGATCTCCCGTTCCATCCGGCCCCTTCCGATTTCTTCCTCGCCGTTTCCTTCGTTTCCCCTTTGTCCTTTGAGCTTTTTCGTTCGTTCCTCCCGCTAGATTCACGCTTGCATCGCTTCGTTGCCTGTCGACCGTATCAATCGTTCGTGAAACGCGTGCGAAGTTTCTCTGTCTTTGTGTCTCTGTGTGTATGTGTCTGTGTGCGTGCGACATTTCTACGTTCAGTTTTATGTTCCTATGCAGTGCGCTATGAATATTGTGTTACTACCGAAAAGTTGTTTCTTGTGCGAGACGAGGCCAGGCTGTGGAAACACGCCTACGGGAGCTTTATGATCGTTCTCGCATAGAGAACTGACATCATTTTGTATTGGCAACCGCCCATGTCGAGGGGGGAAAAGCTGCCGTCAGAGTGCGGGAGGGAGGGAGGGGGGACGGTGAGTTGTATTAAATACGTGGACGAAATTGAGAGCGTATTGTTTCTGATCGAGTCGAGCGACGAGCAAGAAATGTTTACCGCTATTTTTATCACTACATTCACAAGGATAAATTGTCGTGAATATGCGCGGACGTGATTTACGAACTGAGATAGAAGGCGCGAGACTGTGGAAAAGTTTCTCACGGTCGTCTTATGTGCTCGCAGTAAGTAGAACGAGTGAGCAATGATCGGACGAAGACTCGCGGTAAATTACAATTTTATCGTCCTGCTAAATTTCTGTCTGGTAAATGAAGTCAATGAGCAATGATCAGACGAAGGTTTAGGTTAAACTGCTATTTTCATTTCGAGGAAAAAATATCCGTCTAGTAAGTAGAACAAGTGAACAACGATCGGACGAGGACTCATTGTAAATTCTAATTTTAACTTCGAGTTAAATATTCATCTAGTATGTAAAATCAATGAGCAATAATCAGACGAACGTTTAGAATAAATTGCAATTTTCATTCCGAGGAAAAAGTATGCACCTAGTAAGTAGAACGAGTGAACAACGATCAGACGAGGACTGACAGTAAATTCCAATTTTAACTTCGAGTTAAATTTTCATCTAATTGAATAAAATCAGTGAACAATAATCAGCCGAACGTTTAGAATAAACTCCAATTTTAATCCCGAGGAAAAAAACATCCATCTACTAAGTAGAACAAGTGAACAACGATCAGACGAATACTCGCAGTAAATTCCAATTTCAACGTCGAGCTAAATTTCCGTCTAGTAAATAAAATCAGTGAACAATAATCGATCGAAAAAAGTTCCGAATAAATTCCAATTTCAATCTCGTGGAAATTGGAATTCATTAATTCCAATTTATATTAATCTCGAGAGAAAATATTCATTCAGCGAATAGAAGCAACGAGTAACGGTCGAGACAAGGCCCTGGAATCAATGCCAATGCTAAATTGTTAACTGGATTGGCCTGGCAGCAAAGTAGAAACATTGACCAATAGTCGCGCAAACTTTTCGACCCGACTCCGTCGAGACACAAAGCCTCAAAACGAACCAACTTCGATCCACAGTTTCTACTTACTTTCGCGCGAGGATCCACCCTGTTTTCGGCTCCGCCAGACTAACTAGGTCACCCTGTACACACCGGGTTTGGCCGATAGTTTCCTACTAAAACATTACAGAGTTGCAGCGAGGCTGCAAATAGTCCCGCTGAAAAATTCATTTCCTTAATACAATCGGGCCGAATCGTTAAAACGATTCCTAGGATCACGGTGTTAAACATTCAAATCCAGCCTTAACAGTGCTGCCGTGTGTCTGGCCGGTGTCGAGCTATTCTACTTCAACCGAACTTTCTACGGAATCTGCGTTCCTGTAACACTGTTTTCCGTCAGAAATTTCTAGTCAATTCCTAGTAAATTTCTTCGACTCGTCTGACCAACACAGGCAGCTTCTACTCGACTTAAATTCTCTATCCGAACGCACAGTTAAAGTTTTCGAAAAGACTCGTCAAACTGTCTCGAATCCCAGCGTCCCAGAGCGTCTTCGAAAATCGAATCTCAGCGGCCGTATGGCTTGTCTGAGCAGCGCAGTGTTACTCTACTTATCTCAGCGCTAAAAATTCAATTTTAATAACCGTGACGCGTGTCCGGCCAATTCCGAGCTATTCCACTTCGGGCGCGCTCTCGATAGAATCTCTTCAGCAAAACATCTTCGACTCGTCTGACCAACACAGGCAGCCTCCACTTAACCCAAATTCTCCGCGGCCAGAAGGTTAAGTTAAAGTTTTCGCAGCCTGAAAAAAATCCTAGCGAATAGAGAGAGCTTCCTTTAAAATGAAAACTTTGCGGCAATATCGTCAGTCTGCACTATGCAGGGATATTCTACTGCCGCCAAAGTTTAAATCGCGCATCTTAAACGATCTCTCGCATTAAAAAAAATTCCTATTAAAGTTCTTTCGGTTGCCCGACCGGCGCGCAGACACCTTCTACTCGCCGTTCCGTTGCAACAACTAACAGCGCCGTGTAACTCGCTAACCAGCACGAGCCGATTAGCAAGGACACACACGCATACGCACACATACACAGGCTGTGCGAGTCGCAATTCACAGCCGCTGCACGCATTCGCAAGGGTGTTGCAACCGAGCTGCGCCCGGACGCGAACTGCAGTGCGGATGGTCGCATTCCAGCCGAAAATCGGTCTCGGGTCGCGGCCAATGAGTGTCAGGCTGTAATTGGGCTAATGCTCGGCCCGCAAGATCGAACGGCGTGCACTACGAAGCCGAAGCCCCTGCCCGTTTAGCCCCGTTTTTCGAATTTTCGGCACCGCGAGCCGCTCGCGGGATTATTTTTCTTTTTCCGGCATTGTTCGCCGGAACGAAATCTAAAACGCGCCGCAGTTTTCGAGTTAAAAGAAAGGGAAACGCACAGCAGGAGAGAGAGAGAGAGAGAGATAAGTACGAGTTTCGATGGAAAACAAGCACTTCCCCGCGATACCCGAGTTACGAAAGTTTGCTCGTTACGACCACCCCGTCGCGGAACCGTCTCGAAACGCATTCAAATTCCGTCGAATGCATTCGAGGCTGGCGGAGCCGGGAAACGGGGGAAAAATGAGAGAAAGGTCGCCGACGAGGCTGTCTCTCTTTTTCTCTCTCCTCTCTATTTCACACCCTCTCTCTCTCTCTCTCTCGCTCGCTCGAAGATACGGGAGTCGGTTCGCGTTTATCTCCCCGGAATTAAAAGCGAGATCGCGTTGCGTGCGCTCCGCGCTGCGGTTTCGCGTCCCGGGCTGGAGCGAACTGGATTTTCGGAGCACCCCCGCGCACCCCTGCTCCCAAGTGCGGCAGAAGCGGGCCAAAGGTTGCGGGTTCCTCGCCGGAGAACAGGCACCGCACGCGGCCACGGTCCCGCGAACCCGCCTTCGAACTCGCCCTCGCCGCGCTGAAAGAAATTTTCAGCCCCGTGTTAATTGCGGTCTCGCGTGCAAAAGTCCGACTCCCCGGCGTAAAAGTGACGGAATTCGCGCTGCTCGCTGAAACTGTGACACCTAGGCTCTCTCGGATTCTAACGAGCTGCGCGGCTTTCGGATATTCTCGTCGACGGAACGACGGCTGGTCGACGAGGAACCCCGCGAACTAGGTAAATCGTCGCTTTCGTTTTATCTGTTCTTTATTTTATTTTATTTTATCTGCATGCGTGGGGTGAAAACGTATTTTTAGGGCAACGAACAAAGACGAATATTAATGTAGACCGAGAGATTGCAGTTTACCGAGCGGTAGATCGAGGTAAACAATTTCTGTAAATTCGTTTCGAATCTTGTAATATTTGCTGCGAATGTGTCTATTTCGTTGCCGTTGTTATTAACGCTAGATCTATCAAACAGATCAAAATGAATCGAATTCCCTTTCAGAAATATTCCCTTTCACGATTGGCGATATTATAAAAATGTGTAGTACGAGAAACTTTGTAGAAACTTGGATAAACTTTTCAAACTTTTTCAATCGACCATATATTATAATGGAAACCGTGCGACGTTTAAATACCTCCGATCTTGCTATTGTTCCATGAAATCAAGATTTATTAGCTGCATTTAGGGCTCGGTAGTTCCAGCGTCAACAATTATGCAAATTACATAAATAACAAGTACAAAAATAATAATAAAAATTTGTATCTTGTAAAGGGGATCGATCGCGCTAAATCTCGATGATTAGAACGAGGCTCCGAAGAACAATACGCTGACCTAATAAAACGAGGAGCACTGAAGCTTCCTTTTCAATTTCGCTCGT